CAATCCAGCAAGAGGCGATAGCAATTGTAAATATCTACGCACCCAACATAGGAGCATCTAAATCCATAAAGGGAGAAATGGACAATAAAATAATTGGAGGGGACTTTAACATGTCACTTAAATGGATAGATTATCCAGACATAAAATCAGAAAGGAAACAGTGGTTTTGAGGGACACTTCAGACCAGATGAACTTAACATATATACAGAACGTTCCATCCCAAACCAGCAGAATACACATCCTTTTCAGGGGCCCACGGAACAATCTCCAGGATAGGTTACATTTTAGGCCACAAAACAAGTGTCATTACATTTAAGAAGACTGAAATCATATGCAACATTTTTCTAACCACAACAGTTTGAAACTAGAGACCAATTATGAAAGAATCTTGGGAAAAAACAAGGAAACTAAACAGGATACTAAACGACCAGTGAGTCAACAAAGATATCAAAGAGGAAATCCGAAAACACCTGAGACAAATGAAAATGGAAACAACAGTTCGAAATCTCTGGGATGCACCAAGAGCAGTTCTAAGGGCGAAGCTGATGGAAATATAGACTTAACCCAAGAAAAAAACAAATCTCAATCTCTACTTTTACTTAAAGGAACTAGAATTCAAGAACAAAAAACAAAGCCCAAAGTTAGTAGAAAGAAGGAAATAATAAAGATCAGAATGGAAATGAAATAGAGACTACACACAAAAACAAAACAAAACAAAACCACCACTGGAAGGAAGGGCTGTTTCTTTGAAAAGATAAAATAGATAAACCTTTAGCCAGAGTCATCAGACCCAAAAATCAAAGGGGACTTCATGCAGGAAAAGTTACAACTGACACCACAGAAATATAAAGGATTATAAAAGACTACTACCAAAAATTATACACCGAGTTGGACAACGTAGAAGAAATGGATAAGTTCCTAGAAACGTACAATCTTCTAAGACCGAATGAAGAATAGAAAATAGACTAGTAAGCAAATCAAATCAACGATCAAAAAACTCACAACAAACAAAAGCTCAGGATCAGATGGCTTCACAGGTGAATTCTACCAAGTTTTTTTTTTTTTTTTTTTTTTTTTTTTTAAGATTGTATTTATTTATTTGAAAGAGAAAGGGCACAAGCAGGGGGAGCGGCAGGGAGCCTGATGTGGGACTTGATCCCAGGACCCTGAGACCATGACCTGAGCCAAAGGCAGATGCTTAACCCACTGAGCCACCCAGGTGCCCTTTACCAAGCATTTAAAGAGTAACCTATCCTTCTCAAACTCTTCCAAAAAGCTGAAGAGGAAGTAATGCTTCAAATTTCATTCTATGATGACAGCATTATCCGGATACCAAAACCAGACAGACACACACATACACACATGAAAATTACACACCAATATCCCTGATAAACAGATGCAAAAATCCTCAACAACATATTAGCAAAGTGAATTCAACAATACATTAAAAGCACCATTCACCACCATGAAGGGGGATTTATTTCAGGGGTGCAAGAATGGGTCATTATCCACAAATCAAAGTATTTATCACATTAATAAAATAAAGGATAAAAACATCTCAATAGATGCAGGAAAAACATTTGTCAAAATTCAACATCCATTTATTATAAAAACTCTCAAAGTGGGGGTAGAGGGAACATACCTCAAAATAATTAAGGCCATGTATGACAAGCCCAGAGCTAACATCATACTCAACAATGAAAAACTAAAAGCTTTTCCTCTAAGATCAAGAACAGGACAAGGGTATCCACTCTTATTCATCATACTATTGGAAGTCCTAGCCACAGCAATAAGACAATAAAAGGAATCCAGAGTGGTAAAGAAGAAGTAAAACTTAGCAGCTGATGTGATAGTATATATGGAAAATCCTAAAAACCACCAAAAAAAAGCCATTATAACTAATAAGTGAATTAAGTTGCAGGATACAAAATTAACCGACAGAAGTCCGTCGTGTTTCTGTACACCAATAACAAGTTAACCAAAAGAGAAATTTAAAAAAAATCCCATCTACAATTGCATCATAAAGAATGAAGTACCTAGAAGTAAATTTCACCAAGGAGGTGAAAGACCTGTACTCTGAAAACTTTAAGACATTGATGAAAGAAACTGAAGATGCAATTAGATGAAAAGTTATACCATGCTCATGGATTGGAAGAATATTGTTAAAATGTCCATATTACCCAAGGTAATCTACAGATTCGATGCAATCCTTATCAAAATACCAACAGCATTTTTCACAAAGATAGAATAATCCTCAAACTTGTATGGAATCACAAAAGAACAGCCAAAGCAGTCTTGACAAAGAACAAGGCTGGAGGTATCACACTTCCAGATTTCAAGATAAACTACAAACTACAGTAAGCAAAACAGTGTGGTACTGGCACAAAAACAGACACATAGATCAATGGAACAGAACGGAGAGTGCAAAAATAAGCCACACTTATATGGTCAATGACCCTATGACAAAGTAGGCAATAATATACAATGGGAAAAGACAGACTTCAATAAATGCTGTTGGGGAAACCGGACAGCTGCATGGAAAAGAATGAAACTGCACTACTTCCATACACCATACACAAAAATAAACTCAAAATTAATTAAAGACTTAAATGTAAAGACCTAAAACCACAAAACTGCTAACAGAAAATACAGGTAGTCAACTCTTTGGACATCGGCCTTAACAATACTTTTCTGGATCGGTCTCCTCAGGCAAGGAAAACAAAAGCAAAAAAACAAGTGGGCCTACTACATCAAACTAAAAAACTTTTTTCACAGCAAAGGAAATCATCAACAAAATGAAAAGGCAACCTACTGAATTCATACAACTCAACACCAAAAAAAACAAAACAAACCCGTCTGATTAAAAAATGGGCAGAGGATCCGGACATTCTTCCAAAGACGACATACAGATGGCCAACAGACACATGGAAAGATGCTCAATATTACTGATCACTGGGGAATGCAAATCAAAACCACAGTGAGAAATCAACCTCACACCTGTCAGAAGGACTAGTATTGAAAAGCAAAAAGAGCACATGTTGGCAAGGGTGTGGAGAAAAAGAAAACCTCAGTGTTGGTAGGAATGTAAATTCATGCAGCCATTGTGGAAACAGTATGGAGGTTCCTTCAAAAAATTAAAACTAGAACTACCCTACAATCCAGTAATTCCACTTCTGGGTATTCACCCAAAGAAAATGAAAACATTAATTCACAAAGATATGTGCACCCCTATGTTTACTGTAGCATTATATTATACACAACAGCCAAGATAGGGGAGCAACCTAAGTGTCTACTGATAGACGAATGGATAAAGAAAATGTGGTACATGTACAATGGACTATTACTCAGCGATAAATAAAGATTGAAATCCTGCCATCTGCAGCCACATGGATGGACCTAGAAGGTATTATGTTACATGAAATAAGTTAGAGAAGGACAAATACTACAGGGTTTCACTTAGATGTAGAATTTAAAAACGAAAACAAATTAACAAAACAGAAATAGACTCAAATACAGAGAACTGATGGTTGCCAGAGAGGAGGGGGAGTGGGAGGATTAGCAGAACAGCTGAAGGGGATTGAGAGGTACACACTTCCAGTTATAAGTCATGGGAATGAAAAGTTCAGCAGAGGGAATGTAGTCAATATTGAAATAACTTTGTATGGGGACAGATGGTAACTACACTTATGGTGGTAAGCATTTCATAATGTCTGTAATTGCCAAATCACTATGTTGTACAACTGAAACCAATATTGTAGGTCAACTATACTTCAATTAAAAACTTAAATTAAAAAAATCAGTAGAGTAAAACATCCTCTTTCTCCCATGCTGAAATCCCAACTCCTTGCTGTGATAATTTTTTTTTCTTAACATAATGGAGGGAATATTTTGGGTAGGAAAACTGCAGTGTTTAATGGTAGATCTTGCTTCAGTCATGGCCGGATCCAGGTGCTCATCCAGTGGCTCTATTTCCCTCTCTTTTAACTTCATTCCCAGCTTTCTCTACATGATAGCAAAGGGACCACTATCAACTAGAAACATTCACTGCTCTTTCAACTGATCCCCAAGAAAAGAAAGTTTTTTTTTTTTTTTTTTTCCCTAAGAAGAGCACCAACCAAACTCCCATGGAATTGGCCTGGCTTGGGTTGTGCTCACAGGTGGTGGGCAGGGGGAGTAAGACATCATTACTAGCTAGAACAGAGTCGAATACCACCTCTGGGGGGCATAACCTAAGTTAGCTTGGCTTGGGGGGGATGGGGTAACAGCTTTGCAATATAATTCATATACCATATAAATGACCCATTTAAGATGTGCTATTCGGTGGTTTTTAGTATTTTCAGAGTTGTGCAACCATCACCATGATCAATTTTAGAACATTTTCATCACCCCAAAAAGAAGCTCTTGCTCTTTAGCTATGTCCACTCCCAGCCCAGGCAACCACTACTTTTCTGTCTGTATGAATTTACCTGTTCTGGACATTTCATAGAAATGCAATCAACCGTGTGTGGTCTTTTGGAACTGGCTTCTTTAACTTAAATAATGTTTGCAAGGTTCATCCGTGTTGTAATGTGCAATCTTGCGCTTTAAGGTCTTCAAAGATCTGCCGGCCCCTGCTTCCCTTTCTGTCCTATTAGGCTACTCTCCCCCTTCCCTGTTGTGTTCTACTTTAAGCACATAGCTACTTAGACCTTTTGCATTCGGGTAAGGACCAAAAGGGGACGGAGAATGAAAACCCAGATTTAGGCCCTAGGATCAGCGGGCAGTGCAGTTATTGCAGGGTTTCACAAAAAAGCCACCCTTTATTGGGGACAGGGGTTTTTCAAACTGCTTGCTTCCAATGGAATAAATAATTGTGAGTTTTATCTTCTGTTAAAATGGGCCCTGCCTTTTTTGGGGGGGATAATCCCAGTTGCGAAACTTCTGCCTCCTGCTCCCCTCACTCACTCTGTGAAGATGTGGAGCCCCACACGGTCCCCATGTGGCTGTTCTCTCCCCTCCAGGAAAGCGAAGAGGAACTTTACTCCTCCTGCCGCCAGCTCAGAAGGCGGCAGGAAGAACTGAACAATCAGCTCTTTCTGTACGACACACACCAGAACTTGCGCAATGCCAACCGGGATGCCCTCGTTAAAGAGTTCAACGTCAATGAGAACCAGCTCCAGCTGTACCAGGAGAAGTGCAACCGGAGGTAGGCTGGTCCCTCCCCCACCTGCAGATGCGCAGGTCTTGCTCCTCCAAGCAGTGATGTGGGGCACTTGAAGCCTGGCCCCCATCTTTAGAAATTCTTTGATCCCCTCAATGCTAAGGCTCTTTATAAATAAACTTACAGTAATTTTTATTAAGTATCTGCACCTTTCCTAAGCCAAACTGTCACCACTAGGAGGACACATCGATATAATAGTGAAACTAAACTGTGACCTCTACCTTCCAAAGAGCCTTGTCATGTTCCTGCGGTCCAGTGGTTCTGGACTGGGGCAGAACCCACCCCCCGGCCCCCAAGGGATGCTTCTGGTTGTGCTACAGAAGCAATGTGGGAAGGGGGGTGGGCAACCACGTCCACCTAGTGCCCTGAAGTGTGCCAGACAGCCCTGCTCAACAGAACTAGCCTGAACTGCCCAAACAGACTCAGTGGGAAACAGTGTAGACTCTTTACCCATATGCTCATTTCATCCACACTATAGCCTACAGAGTAGCAGGGAGCCCTGTGCAATGCCCAGCGAGGACACAGAGATTCAGAGAGGCTACCTGTCTTGCCAGGAGCCCACCTCCCTGACCGTCCGCCGTCTACCAGCCAGCCACAGAGGCCCTGCAGCTGTTGGGCACACGGCCCGGGTCTGAGCCTAATGCCTGATGCTGAAATCTGTTTTATTGCAGGTTAAGAGAGAAGAGAGTCAGCAACAGCAGGTTTTACTCCTAGGAGCCGGGGTACATGACTAAGGGGGTCACGCGTGCGTTTGTCCTCTCTTCAGGCCCTGGGAACATGCTCATCTGTGGGGCCATCCTCTCCTCAAGCCTGGCCCCAAGAGGACATTTCTGGAGATCCCACTGGCAGGAGCTGAGGTTATTTCCTGCTCATTTTTTCATCTCGGACAATTTCTTAACTTATATTTTCTATAGAGGATTGTGGAAACTGTGTTCCTCATTTTTGGCCTCTCGTGTTCCAAACCTCCTTGAATAAAAGCCGTGAAAATCCCGCTCAGTTACCCCTCCCGTGCACGACCCTTAGATGACCAGCATCCCTTTTCCACCTCTAAAGACCCAGGTAGTTGACTTCCATGGTGGGAGGAGCCCAGTATGTAAGGAACGCATTCATTAGATTCTGCAAAGGAGGTTAACCAAAAGGCAAACGATTCCTCAGTTAAGGCCACCGGCTTTCACCAGGGCCCACGGAGGAGCCCTGCCCCTGGCTGCCGTCCCTGCCGGCCTGCCCTGGCCCGGGTCAGCGGGCTCAGCTCCAAGCATGCTCCCGCCGGCTGGCTGGCCTCACGGACCAGTGGCCGTGCCTCAAAGGGGGATGGAATTTCTCTTCAGGAGGACAGCTTCAGTCCATGGTGGAGGCTTGCTCTGTGACTGCAGTTTTGGGGGGTGGGGGTGGGGTGGGGACCCCTTTGAATTAAAAAGTCTGTCAGAGAGACCAGAGACTCACTGAAGGCTCAGCCAGCCTCTTAACCCCTGGCTCTGCTCGCTCAGGAGCTGGCTGTGAGCCCGTGGAGAGGCCCTGAGTCCACAGCTCTCCACAGACAAGAGGTCATCTACTGATTTAACAAGGTGATCACAGTTAGCCCTCCGGTCATCCCATTTTCTGGAGCACTGAGCTAAGCCTCAGCAAACTACAAAAAAGTCCCATCTGCAGCCATCCCCGCAGGGGCTGACCCACCGAGGACAAGAGAGTATTCCTCTCCAGGTCGATACTGATACAACCAAGTGATTTGTACAGGGTGAGGATTTAGTAAGGTTTCTTTTTTTTTTAAAGATTTTATTTATTTGAGAGAGAGAGAATGAGAGACAGAGAGCATGAGAGGGAGGAGGGTCAGAGGGAGAAGCAGACTCCCCGCCGAGCAGGGAGCCCGATGCGGGACTCGATCCAGGGACTCCAGGATCATGACCTGAGCCGAAGGCAGTCGCTTAACCAACTGAGCCACCCAGGCGCCCTAGTAAGGTTTCTTAAAGACAAGGATAGTGGGGGCGTGGAGGGTAGGACTCTGTAAAGTCACAACTTGCTCAGGGGGAATGGAGAATTGACTTGGTGGGGGAGGGGAAGTAACTGTGAGAAAACACTTGTATCAGGACGACCAACTAGCAAGAAGCCTGGTGGGTTGACTGCTTGGAACTGGATCCTAGCAACCCATTCAGCCCTCCCCTAGTTACCCTGGACTTAGCAAGTCTGCGTTATTGCTGGGAAGTCCATTAAAGCCAGCCGGGCTGTGTGTGATCAAAAAGCCTTATGCCTGCATTCCAAAAAAGTTTTTAAGCACCTCAAAATACCAAGCACTGTGCCCATGGTCAGGGGTACGATGTAAAAAAAAATAAAATAAAAAAATAAAAAATTAGGGGTTAAAACCAAAAACCCGTGCTCGCTGTTCTGGAACATACCCACATGCTCCTGAAAGAAATGCATTTTACCTTCCCTGAAGCCAGGAGTGTAGGTAACAGCAGGCTGACGAGGGAGCTGTTACCTTGTGACATTACTTATTCTTCCAACTGGAGTTGCTATTTTATTTCGCAGTAGCAACTGAGCGAATATTCCTGATGGTGGCAAATGTTCAAAGCAACTTTGAATAGAAGTGAGAGGCAAAGACACTGAGCTGAGTGCCACGCAAAGGGATTTGCAGACTCTAGAGCCAGTGTCCTGTTCGCCATTGGCCAGGTGGCCACTGGAGCCTAATCATTGCACCCCCAGCCCTACCTCCAGACTTCTTTTGCCTCCATCATTACCTCTACACCACAGAGCTCAGGTGCTGCTGTCGTCTCCCCTGTTTTCAGCTGAGCGGGGAGTAAGAGACCTAAACCTTCCCACTTCACTCCATTTTAAAGTCAAAGAGCTAAAGCCTGGATCCCCTTTCTGCTTAAAATGGATTTTCTGCTAGTGTGTCAAAGAAATTAAGATGGGGTGGCATAGAAGGCAAAAACGGAGCACCTTTTCAGCTGTTACCGTGTAAAATCCATACCCATCCACACCTATGCTGAGAAAAAGCAGATACTGGGGTAGTGGGGATTAGAACATAAATGGTGCTGCGAAGAACTCTTTCCCTAAGACTGTCTCCTCCTAGGTGCTACAGTGACTTGAATCCACCATTAGGGAGTATTGGTTTTTGCTCATCCCTTCTCCCCTTAATAGGGTAACACATGAATTTAACTGAGAGAAGGTGGTACTAGGATTCTCTCAGGAAAGACGCAGAGGGAATGTGAAGGGCACAGGGGATATCACTACTCTTCCCATAGTCTGCCCGGATGCCACAGAACCTAAGTATAAGATATTCAGCTGAGGCTGTGGCTTAACCATCGTGGAATAAGCACAATTCAGGCCAAGCAGAACAGTGAGAGGAGCATCTTGAGAGACCCCAGCAGCACAGCAGATCTGAACCACGACTGTGTATGCGTTACACTGTTTTCGTTAACCGCTTCTCTAGGTGGAGCATTTAGAATAGGTTTTATCACATGGAAAAAATAAAGGGGTGGGGCTGGTTAGATCATTAGAGTTTGGGAAATTCAGGTTGTACAAAGTTAAATAATTGCTCTGCTGCGAAACGTGGCTATCCTAATGTGCACAGTTGAGAGAGGTGTGGAATATCACATTTCCCAAATTAGATCTCTCAATCCTTTCGCCAAGGGATGTCTATCTCATGGGACTAGTGTGCAAGGCAGCACAATTGAGGGCCGGCTGCTCTATGAAGAAGACAGCCACAGGGCTGCATGACTGCCTCAGTTGGAAGAGCAAGCGACTCTTGATCTCGGGGTCATGAGCTTGAGGTTCCATGATGGGTGTAGAGGTTACTAAAAAATTAAAAAGGCAGCCAGGCAAGAGAATCTAATAATTGATATACCTTGTGACTTAGTTAAATAAAATCTGAACTTAAGCCACTAAGGCCAATGGTCTTAAAATGGGGCAGCCTTACCCCCACCTATCTACCACAGCTTTCTAAGGAATACACAGGGCTCAGATAGTTTTAGGGGATCAATTTTCAGATCCTTACCTTCCTATTTTACTCTTTCTTAAGACTCATCTGCCTCAGAAAATGCCTTTTTCTCCCCTTAAAAAGAAAATGCTCTTTCCCCAGAGTCAGTCTTAAACTATGGAGCATGACTCAAGGTATAACATTTACAATATGAGTGCTTGGAAAGTGAAAGCCTCTTAACAATCAGGTACAAATCCTTCTGCCATTCAGGTGGTTCTCAATTCTTTTGATTTCAATGAAGTTGAAGGAACACCCAAGATTTCTTAGTATTTTAGCATGTAGTTCTGAAGGCCTTGGAAGAATTCAGCTATCACGCTAACACAAAAACGCCTTCTGTTCCTGTCTCCTTATCTCCTCGAACAAAGATCAGCAACACTTGCATACATAAAATTGCCAAAGGAGAAAAGAATTGATACTGTGACCATTCTAACAAAGGTAACCTTCATCCACAGAGAGATGAAATAACAGGGTAGAAGCTTCCTTCAACACACTGACACATTGCCAATGAAATTTTACTATGTTTATTTATTAAAATTTGTACTCTATTAGTTTTATTGACCAAGTTCAATCCAGAAGAAAGTTTCAAATACATCGAGCCTTATGATTTATAGGATATCATAGAATTGTGTTATAAATATGCAAAGAATCAATATAAAAGCCAAAAATCAATAGGCTAAAATTTTGAAGGGAAGTAGAATAAAAATACACATTCAAGGAGTAAAAGGAAAAAGTGTGGTATTTCCTACCATCAAAAATTGCCTTATTCATGTAATTTTTTAGAAGGGTAGTAGTGTCTCTCAGCTCTTGTATTTAGAACCTCTAGGCTAAACTTAAAGAGGAATGTAAGCATTTTATTTTAAGATGCAGTATCTACAGCATGCTGACAACTTGGATCCTTTGCAGTGATTTACGATGAAAAATTTTAGACATCCATTTAGAAATGTTCAGGCGGATACTCAGATTTTCAAAATTCACTGAAGAGGTCTCTGAGTGTTAAATTTTAAGACGGCTGATCTGGGGCCACTAAGTGATGAGTTGCACTTGAAACCAAGAAGGACGGCTAAAAGGGGCCCCAATCCTTTTAACAAATTTAAAATGGATAAAAGTAATTTTCAGGGCACCAGGGTGGCTCAGTCAGTTAAGCGTCCAACTCACGATCTCAATTTAGGTCTTGATCTCAGGGTTGTTAGTTTAAGCCCTACGATGGGCATGAAGCATACTTTAAAAAAAAAAAAATGAAGTTAACTTTCAACTTTCAACTGCATATTGGGTGACTGCAGCTTGGGTGACTGCTAACTTTCTGGAGACAACCCTAAAAAGCCATACTCTGGCCAATGGAAAGTTAATAAATAGTTTAAGAAATATGCAGAATGACAAAATTGGCATTTGAAAAACAGTGATTTCTCTTGGTTCTGTCCTTTCTGAAAATTTTTCTTCTTGAACCAGATTCTACAATGACCCTGCCTTTCAGAAATTTCCTTATTTCTTACTTTTCAATAGGCTTTAAAAAGCTGCATTTGTAAACTTGTGTTTCATTATTAAAGCTTAATTTATTTTTTATATAAACTGTGTGCTTGTGTGTACATAGAAAATCATGTGAATGCATCACATAAATATTGGCTACTGCTAATGTGAAAATTAAATGGCTGTATCACATTTTTAAAAAATAAAGATTTGGTCTAAATGAATACAGCAATCTGCCCACAATTGTGTGTGTGTGTGTGTGTTTTAAATATGAATCACTTTTTTGCTCCCATATAAAACAATAAATACTTCAGCCTTGAGATAGGTACAGTTATAATTCTTTTCTCAAAATGTGTTTTTTGGGGCACCTGGGTGACTTCGTCATTAAGCGTCTGCCTTGGGCTCAGGTCATGATCCCAGGGTCCTGGGATTGAGCCCTGCATTGGGCTCCTGGCTCAGCGGGAGGACTGCTTCTCTTTCTCCCACTTCCCCTGCTTGTGTTCCCTCTCTCGCTCTGTCAAATAAAATCTTTAAAAAAATAAAAAATAATGTGTTTTTGGGGCACCTGGGTAGCTCAGTCAGTTAAGTGAGCAGATTTCGACTCAGGTCATGATCTCAGGGTCGTGACATCAAACACTGTGTTGGGCTCTGTGCTGGGTGTGGAGCCTGCTTAAGACTCTCTCTCTCTCCCTCTGCTCTGCACCCCCCAACCCACCCCCCAGCTCGGGCATGCTCTCTAAAAAAAATAGTAAAATAAAATGTGTTTTTCTATCCTATTACACTTTTCTTCTAGGTTACTGATCTATCTCCCTTTCAGGAAAAAGTCACTCAACGTAGAAACCCAAGTTTATACAATTAACACATGACCACTCAGCAGTCTGTCAGTCTTTGGAAGAGTATTTGGTGCTAGAGGGGCAATGAGGTTATTATAAGCACCTGTATTTCTCAACTAAGTGATACGGCATGCTAGAATCATCAGTCATCGTATTTTCTTGCCAAAAGTGGCTGGTACATGGGCAACCATGTTGTGTATCCTAGGACTGTCCCACCCCCGACCCTCAGCCACTGATTGGATTAGTCACCACCTTCCAAAACCTTAAGAACAGCCTATGACAAACCCCCTGCATTTAGAAGATGAAGGAGGAGTAGCAAAAAGCAAAGGCAAAGAAGGAATTAGAACTGCTAAGCTATCTTTTTTAATGGATAAAGTTAGAACTTTCATAAAGATATAAAATGAAGACAGGTCAAAAAATTTAACTCATTAACAAGGGAACCAATAAAATGTTACACTGGTTCAAAGAGTAATTCAAAGAACAATACATATTACAGGCTATCAGATGTCCAGATCATCTGATTCTACACTTGTCATTGTAACTCAGATGATTCTTGTCCAAAGACATGCAAACTATGTCCAGTAGAGATTCAAATGTTCACTGTCTGTGGCTATCAACCAGTTTTGCCAAGTTTTGTATCTATTAAGCGAATTTGTTTCAGCATCACCAGTGGACATGAAACCTGACCCCCTACCTTACACCATATACAAAAATAAAGTCCAGTTAAGATTGTAGATCAAAATGTAAAAGATAAAATGGTAACATTTCTAGAAGGTAATCACAACCTTGGAATAGAGAAAAGCTGCCTTGACAAAAAGCAAAGACACCAACCCTAAAGGAAGACTGCTAAATTAGATTCCACTCAAGTTCACAACTGCTGTTTATCAAGAGATGCAATTAGAAGAACAAAAAGGCAAGCTGCAGGGTGGGAGAAGGTACTAGCAATAACATATGTGACAGAGAACCTCAGTCAAAATAGGATTCTATCCCTCCAACAAATCAGTAAGAAAAAATTCATTAGAAAAAGGGCAAGTTTCATGAATAAGCAACTTACAAGACTATATCCAAATGGCTGATAAGTATATTAAAAGATGCTCATTCATTCTTAAGAGAAAATGTAAATTAAAACCACAATAAAATGCCACCACACAATTATTAGAGTGGCAAAAATTTAAAAGCCTAATAACATTAGCAACTTGGCAAGAAGGTAGAGGGACCGGCACACTGCTTGTTTTGTCAATTGCTACAAAATTACGTTATAAAGATATTTGACATTCTCTACTGAGTTAAGCCATATGCATACCCTACAACCCAGCAATTCCACTCCTAAATATATGCCTAATAGAAATGCATGCATATACACACCAAAAGGCACGTACCAGAGTGTCCATAGTACGGTTATTCACAATAGTCAGAAACAGAAGAGCACTACTGTCCATCTACTGCAGAGCCGGTCAATTGTATGTAGGTGTTTTCACAATGAAGCATAGACAATGATGACAAACGACTGAGCTATGACAACATGTAACAACATGGACGGACCTCACAACTACAAGCTGAGGGAAAGAGGCTAGAAACACACAAATGTAGCAAAGGAAAAAATGGAATAATCTAAATTAGAAGGATATACAGGAAAATGTAGGCTATCTGTAAGAGGAGACCGGATAAGAAGGGGAGACAGGACACGGCACAGCACGTGTGGGGAACACGGACACCTTTACCCACTATCACTGGAGGAACGCAAAATGCAGGGCAATGCCTACCCAGTGGTACCATATGTCAAACACTTTTTAAAAACTTCACACAGACCGTATTCTACACTGCTTGTTAGCAGACATATGGATGGACAGGGAAAAGTGTAAAAATGGGCTGAAACGAGCCTCTAAAGGCAAAGACGGAGTCAGTGGGAAGGTGAGGTGAGGCGAGGCGACAGATAGGGCAAGTTCAGCTCCATCAGAGATTTTTCTCTTTCAAGCACCGGAAGGGTTGCTCTGTTTGGCACAAACATGCAAGATGGCTTGCTCTACCACAACTGGATACGGGCATATCCCATCTTTCTGGTCCACGGGTGAACACTTACAGAGAAGAATAGGAGTAATGAAAAATCAATGAGGGAGCGAGCCTGGGGAGGGGGGAGGGGAGGAGAGGAATCAGAAGGAGGGAGGAGAGAGACCACGGAGATGAAAACTAAAAGAAATAGTCCAAAATGTTAGCAGCTAATATTTCTGGTAGTGAGAAAATGCCATTATATGAGAAAGGAAATTTTCAACTTTTAAGGTTTGTGGGCCCTGCTTGTGGGCTCAGGGAAGCTATACTTTAACATTTAGTTGGGTCAAAAGGACTCAGCTAAACCCCAAGGCATGGGCTCTATTTCTGCCCGAAGCGCATGCTGTACATTGGCTTCCTTCCCTGGCTCCTGATAACAAGATAAAGTCGGTAACTTTCTGGAATGTCCTTCCTCATGATGATTTGTACCTCTTTGTGTAAAACAAAACAAGGGGCATCTGGATGGCTCAGTTGGTTAAGTGTCTGCCTTCGGCTCTGGTCAAGATCCCAGGGTCCTGGGATCAAGCCCCACATCAGGCTCCCTGCTCATTAGGGAGTTTGCTTCTCCCTCTGCTGCTTCCCCTGCTTGTGCGCTCTGTCAAATAAATAAATAAAATCTTCAAAAAAATAAAACAAACAAAAACAAAAAACATATATAACCCTCCACTGAAAGAAAGTTCCTTCCCTGGAGCACTCTCTTCTTTTTGAGGATTGTCTATCCCTGAGCAGCTGTCTTAACTGGGGTTCAAATAAAACTCTTCCCTGCTCTTTAAAAATTTTAAAGCGGAGCCTGGGTGGCTCAGTCAGTTGAGCCTCCCACTCGTGGTTTTGGCTCAGGTTGTGATCTCAGGGTCATGGGAATCAAGCACAGAGTCCGCTTGGGATTCACTCTCTCCCCCTCTACTCCTCCCCCACCACACACGCACTCTCTCTAAAATAAATAAATCTTTAAAAAATTTTTTTTTAAAAAGGTTCATTTTGCATCAATATATATTATTCTTTTTTCAATTTTACTTTCAAAAAAAAAAAAAGGAAAGAAAAATAAAACTATATAAAAAAGATTTACCTGGCAAATTTTAATAAAAGCACAGCTGGAGTAGCTTGTTAATATTAAATAAATTGCAAAGCAAGGCAGGTACCCCTCACAGTAACATTTTACCCTGGTAACAAGAACACTGCCCCAACAAACTGCAATAGACACAAACCTTGATGCTTCTCACAGTATGTGATGCTTCTCACATAAAGCAGACTGGGGGAGAGAAACAAGTTCACAACTGTAGTCAGGGACAAAGAGTTCTCTCTCCGAAAATTATAGCTTAAGGTGACAAAATAAGGACAAAGAGAACCTGAATAATACAAGTCACAAGTTTGATCAAATGCACACATATGGTCCTACAAACACACCTGAACTCCGCACCCAGAGGGTACTGCTTTTGTTTAAGCACATTTACAAATATTGACCAAGCCATGGGGGTGGGGTGTACCACAGGGGTGTACTTGTACTCGGATTTTTTTAAGGGTTCACAATAAAAGCCACAAAGCATTTATTTACAATTGTCCACTGCAGTTCTCAAGACCTAATGGCAAGTATGTGTGCTGCACTCTGAGGACCCAGGGAGAAGGCGGTCAGTGGGGACAACCTGGGTCAGGACAGGGCTGCAGGTGGCCCCACATGGAGCGCCCAGGTCTGCGGGCAGGAGGCAGAGCTGAAGGGAGGATTTTCATAGAATTTTATAAGCTGATTTCAAAAGTCACATGAATAATGTAAAGAAATAGCCTGGGAATTTTGAAAAGAAACCAGAAGGGGAACGTATGTCCTAGCAAATGCAAAAGACCTGATAAATCCATAATAATCGAAACTATGTTATCTCCACAGTGAAAGGTATGAATCAATCAACTTGAGAAAAGGTTGGGAGAGAAACAGGGACACAGGGGGAGGGGGAAATGAGAGGAGGGGGGGGTAGAGGAAGGAGAGAAGGTTAGTAGGATGACCAATCCAATTATGTTGAGATGACTGGTCATTTAGTAAACCCCAA